GCGGCGCGGGGGAGGCGGGCGCGCGCCGGGGCGGGGGCGCCAGGCCGGAGCGGGAGCGGCGGGGCCGGGGGACATGCGGCGGCCTCCCCACGCCCCTGGAGAGCGAGCGCTTTACCTCGGGGACGCACGGCCCGCCGACCCGGCCCTGCTGCCCCCCCCGCGCACGGCCCTCGCCGCGAAGTCCGGCTTCGGACCGGGCAGCCGGCGCGAGCGGGGGTCCCGCGGCTCCCGGCCTCCGCTGCCTCCGGACCCGGCTGGCCGCGCTCCCGCCGCCGAGCGCGCACCCTCGCTGGGACACAGACGCACACTCACCGACACACACTCGCTCCTGCTCGCCCTCGGCGGAGAGTTGAAACAGATGTGGGATTCGCCCAGGAGCTGGAAACAGGGAGGGACGCGAGCCAGAGCCGTGCGTGTGTGCGTGTGTGCGTGTGTGTGTGTGTGTGTGTGTACGCGCCGGCCACACCGACGAGGGGCATTTCTAATAAATCAAACATCGTAATCAAGTCGGGGGGCCATCGATCAGGCCACTTGGCTGGGAACGGAGAGATCCCTGCCCCTTCTGCTTCCTTTTTCTCCTCCCTCCGAGCTGGAAGGAGCCAAGTGTCCTCGGGACGTGCGACAGCCCGGCCAGGCGCTCCCCTCGTAATGACACGTTAATAAATGTTTTCTTTTATCTGTTTTCACAAGGGCTCGCCCCGGTCTGCAAGCACCCGACTGCTTTTGCTCAAAGCCCTGCGCTCGCCTCTAACTACACACATTTGCCATTGGAGAAGCCGGCTCCAGGCCGAGCCCCAAGCGGGATCGCAGGGAGAACTACCCACGCGCCCGGGCCTTCCCACGCGCCTCGGAAGCTCTCCCGGAAATTAACTTGAGCCCAAGTGAACACAGCAGCGTTGCCCAGAGATGGCCCGAGAATAGAAAAGAAAGACGAAACGGGCTTCCCGCGAAAGCGGGGAACTCCACTCAAGGTGGCGCTGTCTGCCGCGGTTTCCCGTCCCCATGGTCACGCCGGGCAGGAGGGGCAAGGGGCTGCAGGGTGGGCGAAGAGCAGCCCAACCAACCAGTAGCCACAGGACTTAGAGCTGAGCTGCCAGGGGGAGACCGACCCTGGTGGGGAAACAGCACTTGTAGGCAGGAGGAACGTGCCTAGACCCCGTGGTCTTCTTCAGTATCATTATACCCATTTCACAGATGTGCAAACCGAATCACAGAGGTTAGGTGACTGGCCCAAGGTCATACTAGCCGTGGACCCAGAATTTGAACCCAAGAAGCCTGGTTCCAGAATTATGTGCTAAAACCCTCGGCTATTATTATCTTCCCACTGAACACCTCCTTGCCCTGGTATTATCTTTTGAGTTTCGTGCTAGTTAGTGTTTTCAGATTAAGCAAATACAAATAAATGACCATTGTGGGGGCCTATTAATGCTGACAAGTTCTTTGAAGTTTATCTGAAATTCAAATAGGGTGTCCTGACTAGGTTAGGGGCTCTAGTCCCCTTCCCAGAGTGTCCCTTGGTCATTCCAGTTTAATCTTGAGTCTAAATGAATCAGAAAAATCTTGAACTTGCTTTTCTAAATCAGGTGCTAGCCCCACAGAGGCGGCTGACCTGTCCACCGCCTGCCTGGGAAGATGCCTCGCTGAGTTTCTTCACTTCCGTGGACCCAAACCTATGGAGACCCCTCCCCTTCTGCCTCATCTCTGCAGAAGGGGACACATTGGCCGCAGTGCTGTCCAGGAGATGTATGTGGCAGGCCTCGTATGTAATTTGGAAATCTCTAGTAATGGCATTAGAAAATCAAAAGAAACAGGTGAAATCGGTTTTAATCATGTAGTTTCTTTAACCTTGAGTGTCCAAGGGTCTTCAACATGTATTCAATGTAAAAAAATTCATGAGATAGTTTGCATTTTTTTCTTATTCTGGTAAATCCCGGGTGTGTTTTCTCTTTATGGCACATGTCCGTTTGGAGCAGCCAGAAAGGTAACGGGTCTTGTCCGCAGTCACAGAGTTGACAGGTGGATCTCGGCCCTTTGGAGGCTGAGCCTGGCTTTGGAACCCAACAGGAGTCCTCAGAGCTCCAGCGGCCCCAGGGTGGGAGGGGAGGGAGCTGGGGTAGGGCTGCCCTGCTCTGGAGACTGTTCTAGAGGTGGGGGGATTTCCAGCACAAAGAAGTTCAGAACCACACCTGGCTGCTTCCCGACTCCAGGGAGATAAAGGGGCTCTCCTGTCCCTGTGAAGGTCCGGCCGGTGGGTTTCTACTGGATCCTTCCTGCTTTATCAGAGGACCTTGATAACAGTGCCCGTGGGCTGTGTGTGTGCCTGTCTTGCTCACCCTTAGATGTGCATCGCTTCCCCTGATGCGTGGAAAGGCCTGAAGTGATGGCATCTGGGTCTATGCCCCTTGTCCTTCCTTGGGAGGAGGGGACAGGTCTGGAAGGTGTGGCCTTCCTGTGAGCTGTTTGTTGCAGGCCGGGGCCGTGGTCTGCGGTTCATGAGGACTCACCAGCTCAGATGCCCATGGGGTCAGAGGACCTGCAAAGTGTCCTCTGGCCACGTACCTTTCCACAATTCCCAACGACCCCACAGTCCTCCGGGTTCCGGCCTCAGCCTGCTGTTGAGATCCCTTTCAGTCAGGTGGGGACAGCTGGCCCCACTCGGGGTCTTGGGGTCTTCCTGGAGATGTGGGGGCCTGGGGGCTGGATGTCCCCAGCCTGGCCTGGGTGGGCTGAGCACAGTGTCAGGACCCTGAGTCTCCAGTCCCTCTGCCTCCAACCACACTGTCTGGGGCGGCTTTCCTTGAGTCTCTTGTGTCACTGACCCCCCCCCCCCCCCCCCCCCCCCCCCATTGTCCTCTCTGGAGGACCCAGTCAGGCCTTCCAGGCTCCTGGGCCTCAGGTCCTCACTGCTGGTTTACCCTTTCTCCCAACACCTCCACGCCTGGCCTCCCCTCTGTGTGTCCCTTGGCGGCCGTGAGCGGGAGCCCTGGGGTCCCACCTACCTTGCAGAGCCTGTGGCTGTGTCTTCCCTGGCTCCACGGGACAGTGAAACACAACTCCTGGTGTGTTTCTGCGTCTCCAGCCCGAGGCTGAAGCTGTCTGGTTGTGTGTTCCTCTGGCTGGATCTGGGCTGGCGAGGTCGGGATTTTATGGGGTCGTAAAATGCAACCTTTTAACATGTCTTAAACAAATTGGCGTGTCAAGGAGAAACGTTAAAAGTAGGGCCGGAGCTGCAGACGGGAGGCTTGGGCAGGCAAGCCTCAGGACTGGGGCACAGGTGGCTTTAATAATGCACAGGGCTTGGCTGGAACTTGCTTCTCCAAGAGCAGAGGGGCCCGCAGTCACTCTCGGGGGCTTGGTGTCAAACTTCCCAGCTCCTGAGCACAGACGGTTTTGCACGGGTTTTAAAATACAAATTCCAGTCTCATCCATGATGACATAAATTTGTGGTTAATTCTGCAGAATTTTCGGTTAGACCCAAGCTGTCCTGTCAGTGGGAATGCGATGTCAATAGAGGAAAACTGTTTATGTGTCTTGAGATATTGTGATAATGAAAACCAGCTCCATAAACCTCCATTAAATCAGAAGAACACTAATTGTGTTTCACGCCGCCTCCGTGGGGCCAGCTTGCGGACACGCACGTGATTTACTTCAGCAAAACCCGGCTCATCTCTGCAGCGCGGTACCCATTTTCCCCTTTAATTACACATAATTGTATAGTCTAATTTATTCTAACGCCTGACTCCTAAGAGTGCACATTTATGAATCAAGGGTTGGTTTGGGAGGGAGGGGAATTATAAACGGATATAATTGCCGTCTCCTGGGGCTGCTATGAGCCATCTCCAGGAGCGATGGTGTTCATTCTGACTTCTTACCAGGACAGACTGTGGGTTGTCACCAGTTGTCACACAGTTCAAAGACCGCCGATGACAGTGGCTATTTGTCCTGTTGCTGAATGATAGACCAGTGGTTCTCTTTTGGATAAACAGGCAGGAAGGTTTCCATCTGTGACCTCGTGACCAACTCGATGCCCAGGAGCTGGGTGCTGCCCCGGGGTATTAAGATGAGTAACGACCCCAGGGCCGCACGGCCAGGCCATCGTGACAAGGTGGAGCGGGCAGACCTTTGTTTTCTTAAAGGGAAGACCGGGATCCACTGACCATGAGTGCAACTCAATCTAGGGCTTTCTCGGGGACAGCATGTCCGGTTTCACAATCGCTTTCTGAGCTTTGGTTATAATTCATCGATTATGATTAATGACGGTGGTGACTTAATGAGAGTCAAAGGGTGACAGGTGCCGCTCCAGGGCCAAGCTAACTGACCTGAGCTCGGCCAGCACTGGCTGGAGACCCCACTGACCTCCCGGGCCTCGGTTTCCTCACCTTAAGGAGGGAGATGGTGACAAGGACGTTATACGTTGTCATGTGCATTAGGTGAGATTAAGGAAGGTGAAATGGGCGAGGAGAGCGTGCCAGGCTACGGAAGGTGCCCGGGGAGCGTTCGTTAGGTCAGAACCGGAAGAGGGTTGCTCGGCCCAGGGAGACTGTCCCGGGGCCCGTGAAGCTGGAGGTGGAAACCAGGGCAGGTGGCCCTCTGAAGCCAAAGCAAACCAGGCCACACGCCCCCGGGCTTCAACCCCCCTCTGGTACGTGGAAATCTGGACTCTGGGCACAAGCGTGTGCCCGCCCCAGCTGCTGCCCGGCTCCTCTCCCTGCCCACTTGCTTCTCTTTTCATTTTGAAAATTCCCAAAAGTTGAGAGGGCAGCCCCCCCGGGGCCGCACGCCCGCTCTCCACTGGAGTCTGCAGGTGTTGATGAGCTCGTGTTGCTGAGCCCTTTGAGAGGAGGTTGCAGCCATTATGACACATCACCCCTGAGGCCCTGGGCGGGCATCTCCTGAGAATATGTTGCTTCCCCAGATGACCTCTTCATCACTGTTGCACCTCAGGAAATTAACAGTGATCCCATAATCACCCCTCCGCTGCTCCACTAATAGAGCCACAGAGGGATCCTTCTCTTTGTTCTTCAAACCTCTTCCTGCCTCAGGGCCTTTGCACTCACCGCACCCTCTTCCTGGAAGACTCTTTCTCCAGATTTTGCTCTGTCGTCATTTAGGTCTCAGCTCAATGTCACCTCCCCAAGAGTTCTCCCCTGTGTGTTTTGCCTAGAGCTGTTTCGGGTGTCCACCCTTCTTCCCCACCTTATGGTCCTCCTCAGACAGGCTGCTGGCTGAGATCCATTTTTATTCATGTCCGTGGCCTAAACTGTCTACCTCCCCTGTCCACCACTCGCTGCAGGAGGACAGGGGCTGGGGCTGTCACCACTGTGACTTCAGTGCCCAGGACACTGTCCAGCACACAGTCAGCGTCCCACAGACACGTGTGAAGTGAACGCGTGCACAGCCTGTTGGTGATGTTTTCAAGCAGAAGAGATGTGGAGGGGCGTGGCTTGGTCCCCAGTGTTTAGAGACAGATCCACACAGTCTAGCCCCAGTGCTGCCTGGGGCTGAACACAGCTGTGTGTCGCCCTGGGCCCATGTCCCACAAACTCCCCTGACGAATGGGGCCGATGAC